TGACGGCCAACGTACCACTCACTCAGCTGCTGTGGGGAGAGAGGGAGTCGACGACGAGAGTGCAGCGGCGAGGCACCAGCGGAGCGACTACGGAGACGGCCGCTCCAGGGAGACTGCTCACCAGACGCCTCAGCGCCCCCAGGCTCAGCACCCCCAGACTCCTCACGCCCAGGCTCAGCACCTCCAGTCTCCGCACCCCCAGGCTCCGCACCTCCAGGCTCCGCACCCCCAGGCTCAGCACCCCCAGGCTCAGCACCCCCAGGCTCCGCACCCCCAGGCTCAGCACCCCCAGAAGCAGCACCCCGAGCAGGACCACCCTCAGCAGGACCCGAGTCACCAGTGACCTCAACCGGCGCAGTCAAGGGAGGAGGGTCTACCTGAGACACACCTGAAGGAGCAGGACCGGGAGCGGGGAGGGGGTCTAACTGGGGAGCACCTGGAGCGAGGAAGAGCGGGGGGGGGGGGGGGGGGAGAGGGGCAGTGCGGTAGGGGAAGAGACGGTAAAAGGGAACCGACTCGTCGAACGTGACGTCCTGAGAGGGGAAGACACGGCGCGAGGTGGGGTGGTAAAACTGTCAACCAGGCGCGTCAGGAACAAAGCCAAGGAAGACACAGGGAACAGCGCGGGCAGAGAGCTTGTCCGCGGTGGTATCGCGGACAAAGGCACAAGCACCCCAGACCCGGAAACGCGACGCATCGCCAACCTTCCCCGTCCACAGCAGTGTGGGCGAGGTCTCCGGCAAGGAGACACGGGGCCAGAGGTTGAGCTCATGCGTGGCGTAGCGGACCCCAAACGACCACAGAAAATGGGGGGCAGCCGCATGGATCATGGAGGTACGAGCGACCTCCATGACTAAGCCAATGCGGCGCTCAGCAACCCCATTCTGCTGCGGAGAGGCCGGAAGCGTGAACGTCTGGCGGATGCCGTGCTCCGCAAAGAAGGCTGCCAAGAGGTCTGAGGAGATCTCACCACCTCTGTCAGAGTGCAGACGCAGGACAGAAAAGTCCGACTGGAACCGCTCGCGGAGCTGGAGACGAACAGCGCGGATCCAGGGGATCAAAACATCAGGGACCTTCCCCTTGCTGCGCAAGGGGAAGACCGTGGTGTAACGCGTGTAGTCGTCGACGACCAGCAGGAAGTACCGCTCGTGGCCCTGTCCACGGACGCGGGCTGGGCCCCACACGTCCAGGTGGAGAGTCTGCAGGGGAGCCTCTGTGGGAGGGAACGAGGAGGAGTGAGGAGCGGCGCGCTGCCGCCCCTCGACACAGGAAAGACAGGGAGGAGCAGGCGAGGGTGGTAGTGGAGGCAGAGTCTTTGGAAGTCCAGAGACAAGGAAACGGCGGTGCATGCTACGAAGGCGCTGCACCGAGGGGTGACCAAGGCGGTGGTGCCAAAGGAGGGTATGGTGCGACAAAGCGCGACACGAGCAGGGGGCCGCTAGCTGACTTGACGCAAACGCAGACGCAGACGCAGCTACCTGAGGGGACACAGTGGTCAGTGTGTACAGACTCGAGCCAGGCGCTCGGGTGAACGTGGCCAGGTGCCGACCAGTCCGGGAGCACGTACAGTGGGTCACACGCTGACCTCCAGGGGTGAACTGGTCAACCCACACATCCTGTAGGTCAGCTCCACTCACCAAGTTCATAGAGAACGAGGGGAGGTGAAGACCTGACAGGGAGCCAGACGGGACCGCCGGACACGGCAGGACCGTGGAGGAGTGCGCAAGGACTGGACCCCCAGAGGGGTCTGCCAGGGAGACTGCAACCGGCCGACGGAGTGGCGTGAGGGTGGTGCTGTCGCGAAAGAAGGAGCGGGAAGCACCTGGGTCAAGTGTGAAGGTGTACAAGGCCTCAGCAGGCGTAGTACCAGAGAGAGCAGACTCACCAGCACCTGGAGCAGCAGCCTCACCAGCACCTAGAGCAGGAGACGCACTAGCACCTAGAGCAGCAGCCTCACCAGCACCTAGAGCAGCAGGCTCTATACCTGGGTCAGGCGGTACGCACAGGTAACAGGCACGGTCAGCACTAGTAGGCAATGCATACATGGCAGTGAGAATAGCATCATAGTCAAGAGCAAATATATCTACCCTCTGTCCAAGTAGCTCCAGCCAGGTGGGGAGCTCAGCCTCGTCGCCAAACTCGATACGCCAGGCGTCGCTCAGACGGGCGAAGCAGCGGGACTGTGTGTGACCAAGCGTCCCGCAAGCCTGACCAGCCCGATCACCTGTGCGAATGACGTACGGGCAGCGAACGGTACTCAAAGACCCTCTACTCTGAGCGTACCACTCGTGAAGCTGCTGGGACGTAAGTGTCTCGCGCGGACGCCGCTGCAGCTGCAGCTGGCCACTGCCAGACTCTCCCGACTGACCAACTCCAGGGCGACAGCCACGACGGCTACCGCCACAACCCCAACTAGCGTACCACTCACGAAGCTGCTGAGGCGTGAGAGACTCGCGCGGACGTCGCTGGAGCTGCATCTGGCCACCGCCAGTAGCAACAGTAGCAGTAGTAGCAGCAGCAGCGCGGGCAGGGCAGGCGCGGCAGGCAGGCAGGCAGGCAGGCAGGCGCGGCAGCGCGCGAACAAGGCAGGTGCTCACCAGTGGCGGGCAGGGCCGGCGCTCGGCGAGCGGCGGCAGGGTAGGCGTACGACGGCGGCGACGGCGGGGCCGCAGCAGCGGCTGCAGAGTAGGGCCGCGGCAACTGCAGGGCGGGGCCGCGTCAGCGGCAGGTCGGGGCCGCGTCAGCTGCAGGGCTGGCGGGGCCGCGTCGGCGTCCGGGCGGGGCCGCTTCGGCGGCAGGGCGCGGCCGCGTCAGAGGCAGGGCGGGGCCGTGTCGGTGGCAGGGCACGGCCGTGTCAGAGTCAGGGCGCGGCCGCGTCAGAGGCAGGGCGCGGCCGCGTCAGAGGCAGGGCGGGGCCGCGTCAGGGGCGGGGCGGGGCCGCGTCGGCGACAGGGCGCGGCCGCGTCAGAGGCAGGGCGCGGCCACGTCAGAGGCAGGGCGGGGCCGCGTCAGGGGCGGGGCGGGGCCGCGTCGGCGATACGTCGGGGCCGCGTCAGAGGCAGGGCGGGGCCGCGTCGGCGGCAGGGCGCGGCCGCGTCAGAGGCAGGGCGGAGCCGCGTCGGCGGCAGGGCGCGGCCGCGTCAGAGGCAGGGCGGGGCCGCGTCGGCTGCAGGGCGTGGCTGCGTCAGAGGCAGGGCGCGGTCGCGTCAGAGGCAGGGCGCGGCCGCGTCAGAGGCAGGGTGGGGCCGCGTCAGCGGCCTGGCGGGGCGGCGCTCTGGCCTGACGGGCCTGCAGGGGCGGCTCGCGAGCCTGACGGGCCTGCAGGGGCGGCGCGTGGGCCTTACGGGCCTGCAGGGTCGGCACGCTGGCCTAGGGCAGCAGGAGGCAGCGCGAGGGCTGCAGGACGGCGCGCGCAGCGCAGCACGTCACAAGGCAGGGCAGGCAGGCAGGCAGGCGCAGGACAACACGTGGGGTAGCGCGGTAACCGCAACGGTAGGTGGGCCCGAAAAAAAAAAAGACGGTCCTACGGACCTAGCGCTCTGAAACCATGTTAGAATCTAGCAGCAGGAATGATTGAACTATGAAAGTATTGGGTACAAATATGAAACCCTAAAAGGGGCTGTACCCCATATTGGCTACCCCACTACAGCCTACACATATATAACATGCATATACTTTGACAGTGCCTGTGCCTGTGCCTGCGCCTGCGCCTGCGCCTGCGCCTGTGCCTGTGCCTGTGCCTTTGCCTGTCCCTTTTCTGGCGCATATGCATGTCTGTGTTACGTGCATGTGCAAGTCCCGCGCAGGAGGGGTGAGAGGGTGGAGGATGCGGTGGAAAGGGAAGGGGGCGTTCAAAGGGGAGGGGAGAGAAGGGATGGGACAAGCTTCATCACTCTTCCTGACCACGCAATTCCCTTGTGCGCAATCACCCACCCACTTGCCTATCTTCCCTGAACCTGTGTGGCTTTACCCATGCACTTGCGAGTGCCAGGTTTATCCAAGAGCTTTTACAAGTAATTAACTTTCATTATAGTGCCACCATAGGCTGGGCTGCTATAGAAGTTCTCACCCAATGCACCCCATCCGTCCATGCCAAACTCCCAAACGAAAACTTTCCGATGCCCCTTTTTGGGGTCAGCTTCACCGAAAAAGTTATGCTCTGCCCAGGCAGAATCGTAAACTGCTTCGGCGAGACTTCTACTGCTACGTTAGGCATGGATCCGAGCCGAAGCTTGTAGGTCCGGGCACGCCCAGCCACACTTGTAACCCTCCTGGTTACAGTTACCACTGTAGACAACCGCGAAACACAAATATTAGGCTGGTTTAGATTCCACGCCTTGATTGGCGAAAGCGACGCAGTTTTTCCCAGCATCTGCCGAGCTTTCGGCATATTCAGCCCGGCCAGAAAATTCGCGTAGCCCGCAAATCCAACGTCGTATACCAGCCCAGGGTTGAGAATTTTCGGGGCATTTACGTGCCCAGACCCAAAATTCCAGGGTGTCCCTTTCACTCCGAGCGAATCCAAAATAAACCCGCCCTGCTGGTTCATTACTGTAGCAGTCGTCATTATTGCGGATTTGACCGCCGCAGGGCTCCATTTGGGATATTTTTGAATTATAAGCGCTGCGATTCCGGCCAATTGAGGTGTAGACATTGACGTGCCGCTTTTACTGGAAAACCAAGCTTGTCCATTAGTGCCCCCGGGAGCAGCAGCAAGGCGGGTGATACCAGGGGCGGTGATGTCAGGCTTTAAGAGGTCGTTGGTGAGGGTGGGCGAGGAGGAAGGAGGCTTGTTGGGGTTTAAGGGAGGGCCGGCAGAGGAGAAGGGGGCCATCATGGGATCTGAGAGCTGCCTTGGCTGTGGAGGGAAGGGGGAGTGGAGGGAGGGGAGAGGGGGGGTGGAGATGGGAAGTCGGGGAGACAAGGGGAACATGGAAGTGGGGAGGGGGGTGGGGGCTGGATTATGAAGCCCCGCGGAAGAGAAGGGGGCCATCATGGGGTCAGAGAGTTGTGTTGGCTGTGAGGCGGGAAGGGGGAGTGGAGGGAGGGGAGAGGGGGGGTGGAGGGAGGGGAGAGGGGGAGTGGAGGGAGGGGAGAGGGGGAGTGGAGGGAGGGGAGAGGGGGGGTGGAGGGAGGGGAGAGGGGGAGTGGAGGGAGGGGAGAGGGGGGGTGGAGGGAGGGGAGAGGGGGAGTGGAGGGAGGGGAGAGGGGGGGTGGAGGGAGGGGAGAGGGGGAGTGGAGGGAGGGGAGAGGGGGGGTGGAGGGAGGGGAGAGGGGGGAGTGCTGGTTTGTGAGTGAATTGGGGAACAGTGGGAAGTTGGTGAATGGTGAGTGTGGGAGTAAAAGAGAAGGGGGGCGTCAGGGGGTCTTGGAGCTGTGTTGGGCTGGGATGGTGGGCGGAAGGAGGCAGGAAGGGGGAGGAGGGGAGGGGAGATGGGGGACGAGGAAGGAGGGCAAGGAGGCAGCTTTTGAGGCACCCAATATGAGAGGCCCCTTGGAACAGTCGTTTCCTGGTGATTCGTCTGGCTGATTATCACTTGAAATATCTCTTGACCATTTATCTAGAGATTCACATGATACCCCCTGCAAGCCTCTCACCTGGGCGGCAGCTGCAGCAGCAGGCGGTGAGGTGCCGTTGACTTGTGTTGAATTTGCTGACTGTGCAGAGCGACCAAAGAAGCCCCAGTCGTCATCTGTTGAGCTGAAGGGGTAAAGTGAGGAGGGAAAGCGAGGACAATGCGTTGGGTGAGAAGGAAAATGAGGAGAAGGGGAAACGTGGTGGGTCAGAGAGTGAAGTGCGAGTGTGAAACAGTGTGCTTCCCACCTGGCGGCAAGAGTAAGGCAGAAAGGAGCAGCGTTGCTGAGAGTGCAATGTGAGAGGGGTAGTGAAGATGAGGGAGAGAGTTCATGAGAGGGGAAATGAGGGTGAGGCAGACGGGCGACCTACCCACCTGGCAGCACCAGTGAGGTAGAAGGGAGCAGCGTTGCTGAGAGTGCGGACAGTGAGAGGGAAAACGAGTGTGAGAAGGTAATAAACAGTGTGCTTCCCACCTGGCGGCAACAGTGAGGTAGAAGGGAGCAGCGTTGCTGAGAGTGCGGACAGCTAGAGGTGAAATGAGGGTGAGAAGCACGTGATTGAAGTAGTGTTTTGAGACGTCTCAAAACACTACAATCAGGTGAGAGGGTGAGAAACAGTGTCTTCCCACCTGGCAGCTATGCCACTCACCTGGCGGCAACAGTGAGGTAGAAGGGAGCAGCGTTGCTGAGGGTGCGAAAACCGAAGGGCTTCTGTGCCATGGGGGGCGGTCCCTCGTTGCCCGCTGCCATGGCCAGGAACACACCCGCCTGCACATGTGTTGAGTCGTGCAGCATAGGAGGGGAGGGGCGACATGCAGCGGGCCATCACTCATGTGAGCATAGGAGCATAAACGGCACCTCTCAGTCTGCCATGGGGGTCAGTCCCTCATTGCCCGCTGCCATGGCCAGGAGCACACCTGCCTTCACGTAGCAAGAGAGGGCCGAGAAGAGAGCAGCAGCATGGGAGTGTGGGAGCAGAGACACGGGTATCTCTGCAGTTTGGGACCTGCGGCTGCAGCTGCAGAGAGACCCGCGCCCTTTTTTAGAATTCTCAAGAATGAATCCAACATCCGCGTGAACTGAGACGATTTTTTGGGCGCCAAAAAAGCTCTCAAATATGACTCCAACATAGCTGAGCTTTGTTGCTCAATTGGGCTGCAAAGAGACCCGCGTCCTTTGTTGCCCGCACCAGACCAGATCACCTAATAGTCTCCTCTCGTGGTCCTTTGTTGCCCAATGCCATGGCCAGGAACATACATCCACACAGCAGGAGTGGGGCAGCATGGGAGGGGAAGCAAGGGCGTAAGTGAGTCCCGTAAGAGAGTGCTGTCATTGCAGTCAAGCAACTCTCACCTGCACCGCTCTCAGAAGCGGCGCACGTTACCAAAATAGGTGTCTTCACCAGATCCGATGCTCATGGAGAGCACACACATCCGCACCGTCCGCCCTACTGCAACCTAACACATCCAGACCGTCCGCCCTACTGCAACCTAACACATCCAGACCGTCCGCCCTACTGCAACCTAACACATCCTACCACACCTTCCCACGCCCTCCAACATCCTCTCACTCACTCACCTGCACAGCCCTGAGGAGTGGCAGGTCGCCAAAGTAGGTATCTTCGCCGGATCCAATGCTCATGGAGAGCACATCCACACCGTCCGCGACGGCCTGATCAACGGCTGCAAAGATGTCGCAGTCGTGTCCGTACCCATCTGACGCGTTGAACCAGATCGCCTTGTACACTGCCAGCCTGCCACGTGGCGCCATGCCACTGGCTGGCCCCGCTGTCGATCCGAATTCGTCTGTCAGAACCACCCCGGCGTTGCCCGCTGCTGCTCTGTGCGATTGGAAGGGGGAAGAGGGCGGGGGAGGGGGAGGAGGGGGGAGCGAAGGGAAGGGGTAAGGGCCAGGGAGGCAGTGTGGTCAATCCAAACTCGTGAGTCAGCACCACCCCGGCGTTACCGGCTGTGTATGTTTTTTTAGAATTCTCAAAACACATACCCGGCGTTACCGGCTGCTGCTCTGCGTAATTGGAAGGGGGAAGGGAAGAGGAAGAGGGGGGGGAGGGAAGCGGGGACCGGGGGGCGAGAGGAGAGGGGGAGGGGGTGTGGGTGATCCGAAGTTGTAAGTCAGAACAGAACCACCCTGGCGTTGCCTGCTGCCGCTCTGAAGGTGAGAAAGGAGCGGGTGGGGCAGTTGGTGGCAGGGGAGGAGGCATGGTGCGGTGGAGAATCAGAAATGGAGGGAGGGAGGGAGGGAGGGAGGGAGGGAGGGAGGGAGAGGGGGACACTGGCCCACAACTCACCCCGCACACGATGTGCCCCTTTTCCCATAATCCCCCCTACCACATGCCCCGCACACCACGCGCCGTGGCCACCAGCATCACGGGCAGAGCGGAGCTCGCCCCAAGCCAACCTGCCATATTCCGCCTCGTACCCCTTGGCCCTTGAGGAAGTATGGTGCACCAATCAACACGTGTCGTGTCCCATTTCTTCCCGCAATCATGTATGTATCCCACCGACCCCCCATTCCTCACCCCGCACACCATGTGCCGTGCCCCCCAGCATCACGAGCAGAGCGGTATTCCCCCGGAGCCAGCTTGCCATACTCCGCCTCGTACCCCTTGAGGGAATAGAGCGCTCCGATGATCACGTGCCCCATCCCACCCTCCCCCGGTTTCTCAACCCCCCATTCCACGTACCCTGCACACCATGTGCCATGGCCGCCCGCATCTCTCGCAGAGCGGAACTCCCCCCGAGCCAGCTTGCCGTACTCCGCCTCATACCCCTTGAGGAAGTACCGTGCACCAATCAGCTTGCGGTTGCACTTGCTCAGCCCCGTGCACGCCCCTTTCCACTTCTTGGGCACTGGCCCATAACCCTAAGGGCGGGGAGGATAGGGAAGCAGGGGAGCGAGGGGGAGAGGGTAGTAGTGAGGAGGAGGAGGAGGAGGAGGAGGAGGAGGAGGAGGAGGAGGAGGAGGAGGAGGAGGAGGAGGAGGAGGAGGAGGAGGAGGAGAAGGAGGAGGAGGAGGAGGAGGAGGAGGAGGAGGAGGAGGAGGAGGAGGAGGAGGAGGAGGAAGGGAAGATTGGGGAGAGGGAAGTGGGGAGCAGGGAAGAGGGAGAGATAAGTGGAGGGGGAGAGGATCAATATTCCCCTGGAGCCAGCCTTCCATACTCCGCCTCGTACCCCTTGAGGGAGTACCGTGCGCCTATCAGCCTGCGGTTGCAGTGACTCAGATCAGACCCATGCACGCCCCCCTCCACCGCTTCGGCACTGGCCCGTAGCCCTGCGGGAGGTGAAATGAGAGGAGGGAGAAAGGGGAAAAAGGGGAGTGGAAAGGGGAAAAAAGGGGAAAGGTGGGGACTTGCTTACACAATGCAGTATGCACTTGACTTTTGAGTCGACTCAAAAGTTGCTTGCCTGGGCACTAACCTAACTCGCTCTCCCGTTTCCCGTCTTCACTTGCGAGCTTATCACTGCTTAATAATATAGTGCTACTTCAGTCAGTGGACCAAGCCTGTCATAATTTGCATACATCCACGCCCGCCCACACACACGTCTCACCTTGTCGGAGAAAGAAGGGTGTTCCGGACAGATACCAGAGTCCAGCACTCCAATGATCACGCCCTCCCCTGCTCACTCCTACCCGTCCCCCTCCTCTCCTCCCTCCTTCCCCCCCATCCTCACAGACACACATGTCTCACCTTGTCTGAGAAGGAAGGGTGTTCAGGACAGATACCAGAGTCCAGCACTCCAATTATCACGTCCTCCCCTGCTCGCCCCTGCTCGCCCCCCTCCTCTCCCTCCCTTCCCCCCCGCTCCTCACAGACACACAAGTTTCACCTTATCTGAGAAAGACGGGTGTTCCGGCCAAATCCCCGAGTCCAGCACGCCAATAATCACGTCCTCTCCTGCTCGCCCCTGCCCACCCACACTGCTCCACATCTTCCCCAGCTTCATATACTTGGGCGTGTACGTTGTGAAAGCACGCACCTTCCCCTTCGCCCGCACCACATGCCCCACCCCTGGCCGCTTTCTCAACTCCTCTGCCTGCTGTGCTGTCAAAGACGCACAGACAGCGTTCGCTGTGACTCCGTAGCTGTAGAGTAGGCTCGATTCCGAGGCTCCCACCGAGGCTAGGGCAGACCTGTGTGTGCTGAGAAGATGATCCTGATAGGCTTTAACCCGAGGCAAATCAGCGAAGGGGCGGAAGGAGTTTCTCTCTCCGCTTCCTCCCCCGCTGCTCCAGTAGGTGCTGCTGCTGCCTGCGCCTGCTGCTCCCGGGTATACAGCTTTCGCGCTGCTTGCACTGGGTGTGCTTATATCGAGTCTGCTGCCTGCACCGCGTTCAGAAGCGTGTGCTGCAGCCTTGGATGCGGCTTTTGAGTCAATGGAACGTTTAGCAGCAGCAGCACCTTTTACCCCAACCCCACCACGAGCAGCAGCAGAAGAAGCGGCAGCAGAACCAGCGGCTGTGGGTTTGAGTCCTGGGATTCCCCCAGTGTAGGCCACTACTGGTGGTGCTGAGGTCATGTGCACCAGGTACAGCTTTCTTTGCTCTGTTGACGAGCCTTGCACTGCATGGCAAGGGTGAGGGGAGAGGGACGGGAAGGGGCTAGCGTTATGTGCATGGCTGATGCGTTGGCCGGCCACTACTGGTGGTGCTGATGTCATATGCACCAGGTACAGCTTTCTTTGCTCTGTTGAAGAACCTTGCACTGCATGGCAAGGTAGAAGGGGTCGGAGAAGAGAGGGGATGATGATGATGATGATGATGATGCAGTACTGGTGGTGCTGAGATCATGTGCACGAGGTATAGCTTCCTCTCTTCTGTTGACGAGCCTTACCCTGCTCGGCAGAGGGGGCCGAGGGGGGAGGAGGGGAGGAGAGGGAGGAATGTGGGGACGGGTGTTGGAGAGATGTAAAGAGCTGATGCGGCCCAAGTGGTGGCGCTGACGTCATGTGCATAGGAGAGGAGGAATTAGGAACTGTTACTGACTCGTTGAGGGAAGGATAGGAAGGAAAGGGAGGGGAAGGCAGGGAAAGGGGGGGATACAATGGACGCAGGGGAAGGAGAGAAGGGAAGGAGGCAATGAGGGAGGGGCGAGCCTGAGAAAGGTCGAGACTGAACAGGTACGAGATGAGTGAGCAGAATTACCTAAGAAAGAGCTTATTAAAATAATCAGAAGATAGGTGAGTGCGCAGACTTACCTGAGGAAGAGCTTATGACGAGGATGAAGAACGACACCCAATGGTGCATCCTAAAGTGCCCCTTCCGACGCCCTTTCGAGTTCGTCTTCGAGTTCACTACCGATTTCATATTCGATTGCACCTTCCATTGGATCATCTTATAACGCATCCCAAAACGCAAGTTCCGTTGTTGCCGCGGGTGCTTCTTTGTTACTGGCCAGCCGTTGTTCTGAGGCGCGTCGAAACCAATTACGAGGGTACGCCGAGCGTGTGTGACACGTAATCGATTCTCCTATCGCATCAAAGGAGAATAGAAATATCGGTCTGTCTAATGCCGAGCGAGTTTTTGACCAGTAGGGCTGATGCATTACCATTCCACGCTCTGAATGTTCCTTCTCACGCATTACCATTCCACGCTCGAGATTAACATAAGCATTACACCGCATCGCGCTATGTTGGATTGCATCACCCCAAGTCGCACTGCATTCTGCGCGCATAAGCGGCTGAGCAAAAAGCAGCCATGCCCAAGTGCTTGTGGGTGAGACTGACAGGGTAGGAGAGGAGACGACTGTGTGTCTGCAATACGGAACGAACACCTTGAAACAACTACTTTTTTTTGGTAGGTGAAAATGCATTATACAACGTACAACGCAAAACACCGTCGGTCGTAACCGGAGCTAGAGGGCATAGGTAGTGTATACCGTACCCTCGCAGAGATCTAAGGAGGCTTATAGACCAAACGCCTAAAAAATTCAACTTGCCCACTGCAAAACCCCTTTGTGCCATTGGCACACTTCAGCTCTGGCAGAAACGCCTCGGTAGGCTCCAGGTTCTGTATCTGTCGCTTCAGCTTGGAAGAATTGGCTCCGAGCCTGCCTTGCCGTGCCTTGTAAAAAGGTTGGGATCCATCCGAGAAAACCCTGGTTCGAAATTGCTGCTGAGCGGGACCTTCGTGACGGATATTCAGTCTTGGTCCTTTGGCTCCAAATCTGATTCGCCGAGAGTGGTGGAGTTGGGTTGGGAGAGCAGAATGTGCCCTGGTTCTAAGTTGTTGCCTATCGATTGTGCCTTGTACACCAAAGCCTCCTATGTCAGGCAGTTGCGTGAGCTGTGTGCTGGGAGCTACCCCCACTGTCTGAGGGAAGATAGCAGGAGTAGCTACACCCGCGACAGATTTCTGAGTAACTTCACACTCCCCAGTCGTAACTTGACGCCATAGCCCAGTTTCCTCCAGCGACATAGGCTTATCCTGAAAATGTTCTGCCTTAGGATCCAACTTGTTATCCTTATTCAAGTCAGCATCATGTTGCCATAAGTTGTCGCCAATGTCAGAATCCCAACCACTAGACTATTGGGATAAAATGGCTTGTTAAGTAGCGGGTCAGTGCGCCCATAACCCCCCATGCCAACATGCCTGTAACCCTTCCCTAGGATCAATCGGGGATCACCAGTGGACCTCTGACACCCCCCCGCACTGGGATGCCCGAAGTGCACACACTGGGATTCGAACCCGAGACCTTCGCTCTGATACCATGTCAGAATCCCAACCACTAGACCATTGGGATAAAAGGGCTTGTTAAGTAGCGGGTCAGTGCGCCCATAACCCTCCAGGCCAACATGCCTGTAACCCTTCCCTAGGATCAATCGGGGATCACCAGTGGACCTCTGACAGCCAAGAAATATAGAGAAATCCTCTTCCTGAGTTGATAGTGAAGCCATTCGAAATATTGGTAGTTCTTGAACTGATATGGTCAGAATCGATTGTTTGGAACATGATCTTCATTCAGATACGTAGTCATTCCTTGTCGTGCGTTGACGTGACAAACGTGAAGCTCCTGTTTCTGAACGATGTAGGAAGGAAAGTGCTGATAGTATGAAAAGGTTCCGTTGAGATATTTCCTTGAACTTCACACCCGTCATTGCATTTGTAGTTCTTCTCGGGAGCCATTTTAGATGTCCTTCACTTAGCGTTTGCTGCAAACAGGATGTATACCCTGTCTTGTCAGAAACCATTGCTGATCCGGATTTGGTCGCTCTTGAAAGTGGTAATAAACATGTCCGCGGCTGATGAGACGTTTCATTTCTTGTCTGTTGTCGAACAATGGCAGAGAAGATTGATAGTCGAAAAATATTTGGCGGTCCAGCTGCCTTGTACTTTCTCTTCTCATGTCTTTTGTCTGTGTTGCTTTCCAGGTTCCAGCTTCCGTCATGACTTGTGCTAAGCCTGGCCATTATAGCTTCCTTAGAGTAACTTAATGTCTTGAGCTTAAAACCAGTTTAAGAACCTGAAAACAGATCTTCACAAGTGGAAGTCACGACGACCAATGTTCTCTGTTTGAACATAAAGTGGTGTCGAAATCAAGCCCTTGATGAGTAGACCCAAAATATGTATTCAGTTCTTGAAGCTGATAAAGGTTAGCTTGACATTGCGTGAGTAGAAGTTATCGTAGGAGCCATGGCGGAGAGCTTAGAGTTCGTTTGGCGAAGTTACTCGTGGTACCTGTGAGGGTGGATGAAAAATGACCCTTGACGTATCCGTCGCCTCCAATGCACTCGAGAAATCGACCTCCTTGAAACAACTACTGTTGTACTCGGCTCGGCAAGTTCAAGAATTGCTGGCCCAAGCCAGCATTCAATGTCCATCGGAAACCGTACTGGAAACCTGAATATAACAAACAGAACCACCTCTCATCCCGTCCATTACCGAATTTTAGCAAGGTCTGATCCCCCGCTACAGCACTGCATTTTGGGTGCACGGCACGCCGCGTTCTGTAGGGCACGAGACAAAACTAGATATTGGTAACGAGGAGGTGAGTGTTAGATTAGGAGAGGACTTAGGAGACTAGGGTATGGGGGCTTGCATGAATGTCGAGAAGGTTGAGCAAAGAAGAGGGGTTCACTATAGAGTTGGAAGTACAAGTAGGCAAGAGCAAAGGGATAGGGTGCACCACCAACGGTTGATTCTAATAGCTAACTAATACACTAGCAAGCTGTAGACAGTTATAAGATATATAATTCAACACACCCCCGTAACTGCCTACGGCTTTAGCTAGTGGTGTCTGGCACCAGGTCGCCTGGAGAGTGGTTGCTGTAGCTGGGATAGGCACAGAAACAGCGGTGGCTGACCGGCAGCACCTGTGAAAGCCAGAACGGAGGAGGGCGCAGAGAGCGCGGAGGAGGGCTGGGATAGCCGGAGGGCGAAGGATGCTGGTCGCTCGCCATCTACGAGCAAACACAACTGTTGGTGAGGAGGAGGAAGCTGCTGGTGGTGCACAGGAGGAGAGCAGAGGAGAGGCGGCTGGAAGAGAGGAGATAGGAGGAGGAGGTGCGGCTGGAGGAGAGGAGAGGAGGAGGAGATGCGGCTGGAGGAGAGGAGAGGAGGAGGAGATGCGGCTGGAGGAGAGGAGAGGAGAGAGGAGGAGGCGGCTGGAGGAGAGGAGAGGAGGAGAGGAGAGGAGAGGAGAGGAGGAGGATGATTGGCGGCGGCTCTGGGTATGCTCGTCACCCCTTCACCCTCCCCCTCCCGCCACCCACTCACCCTTCCCCCCCACGGCTGCATCCGCGGAAGGGAGAGAGGGGGGGAGAGGGGCGGCGGTTGAGTTTGCAGAATCCTTCTCGCCACCCCCTTACCCTCCCCCCCACAGCCCGCCACCTCCACCTCCACCCCCGTGTCTCCCCACTGGCCGCCACCCCCACCACCTCGCGCTAACACGGCAGCAGTCGCTAGCGCGGCTGGCGCTGGCGGGAGCATGGGTGGGGGGAACGGGGAGCCGCGACAGAGGTCGCGCAGGGCGCGACGGGATGCCGCACCAGAGGCGCGGCAGGGAGCCGCGATGGGGGTCCGCGGCGAGCGTGACGGGGGGGCACGCACAGTTCGCCGCCATGACCGTTGCGACCGTCGCGACAGGT